TTGGCCGAATAAAATATAAAATATTTTTTTAGTTATTTTGATTTGACATACAAGCGTTGTAAAGATTAATTTTAGTAAGCACTGATAACGACATGTTTTTGTCAAACAAGTTGCTAACAGAGTTTGAAAATACCTTGGGTGTCCCAATATGAATTTACAATACAAATATTTTACGAGACTTTATCTACTTTCGTAGAACAACGAAATAAATGTTTCAAAAATATATTTCACAACTGTAAACATTTTTTAAACGTTATTATGTTGGACACAAATGCTGAATGAAATTCGCTGCAACACTAGTATTGTAATAAAAACTATTATAAACAAATCTATTTTTTGAATTGAATTCCTTTTACTAAACGAAAGAAGATTTTAAATCTTTAAATTAACAAATAACATTATAAACATTGAAGAAAACTTTAATAAGGTAGTGAAATGATTCAATAATGAAATAGTTATTCATGCAGAACATTAGAAGAGGCATTCTTCTATTATTATGCTTACCAGCAAACGAACCTACAACTAACTCTAAATCTATTTTTGCGATATAATTTTCAACAAACAAAATGCTCAAGTCACTAAGCCTATCCTGACTCATAGATGCTCTTAAATATTTTTCATTTCTCTTTAAAGTGCTGAAAGGTTTTTCAAAACTTGCACTGGAAGATGGTACTGTTAATGCCATATTAGATAGTTTATTCATTTCATGGAAGACTAAACTAAAATCTTGCAAAAGAAGTGTGAGAGAGTTTATTTTTAGAGTCTTTGTGATTTCATACCTCATAGTGGTATCTGGCAATGACTTTGTATCGTTTCCAATTGAAACTATATCACATTGGTAATGGTTAGCTACATAAATAAAAGTTCTAAGTTTAAAAAATGGATTAAATGTACTAAATCATGTTTTTAAATCCAGCTTTTGTTTCTGTAGCTTTTTCAGTTCTTGTAGCTTTCATTAACAAAACCTAAACTGCTGGTTCCACTTTGTTTGAAGACAAATCTACAAGGGAAAACGGAATACAGGATCTTTGAGAATGCTGTACTTAATCCAAGAATACATGATATAATAACTGGACTTAAACCACCCCCAGCGCTGCCACTTGTACTAATAGAAACATTTTCAACTGAATCAGTCTTTTTTCCTAGGTTGACGAGGTATACAATGAGACTTTGTTTTAGTGAATGTGACAGGAAAGTTTTTTTTCTATCGTATTTTTTTCTTTTAGAAACTAATTGTATGATAAGTATACAAAGTAATTCAGGCTAGACGACACCAAAGATTGCCGCTGGACTAGTTGGTTTGCTGACCCTGCATCGGGTGTAGCTATTACTAGATTTAACCCACTTTTGCAATTTTTTAACTGATATTTCCTGAATATTGTTACGGAGTTTTATCATGATTTACATTGCTTAAAGAAAACTTAAAGTGTCTTACATTTTTGTTGTTTCATAAAAGTTAGGACCTGCAGATTTTCTTAAAAATTAAATTCCAATAAACAATGAAGAGGACTGTTTCTAACACTAAACGGACAAGTTATTATTAATTTGTTAAAATTGAATTTTAAACCGAGAACGGGTCAAGGGTTCTAGGGAAACAAGATTTCAATTGTTTTGATCTGCTAATTCTGGAGGCCAATGGCCTTTTTATACTGCAAATTCCTTTGTTCAACCGTCCAATTTCGGAAACTCCCACAATTTATGGGCGGGGTCAAAACATAAAAGATTCTCAAAGAGTTAGTTTGTCTGGCATTAATTTTGAGAAGTACTTTTAACAAGGATAAACTGAAACATTGGACGCACGCACTTATGCCAGGCAACCAATTTCTTTTGGAAGGAAGCATTGGAATTGAGTTTTCATCAAAAACGCAAGTAAATGGAACAGAAAGAAACAATTAGCGTTTAACCAAAACTGGAGACGGGCATTGCGCTGCGCATTAGCGATGCTTAAATACCGTGCGTCCCTCTTGCCCCACTCTACTCCCATCTTCATTCCTCAGGCACATGATTCTATAAATACAGCAGTAGCACCGTTCAACAAGCACTCATCGGAAAGGGACACGGAAAACAACTTCAACCATTACCTCATCATCGATATTGATAACATTTACCGCATAGTTGGTCGAAAAATCAGGAAGGAAATCAACTGATCATTATACATTTGATAATTTTAATGTTTCTATCAATTTGTTGTTTTTTGTCAAACGCCGTCGTCGTTCGAAAAACGACACTTTTCGCCATTGTATTGCCTCCTCCCTACTTTTATAGGTGTTCGAAGAGTCCGCCCTAATTATGCATACACATTTCAGCTATGTGCGTAGAGTTCGTTGTTTCCTTTTTCTCAAGTGTTTACTGAATTATTTCGAAAATTATTCTTGCTTCCATGTCTTGAGTTAATGTTGGCTCCTATTTATAAACTTCAGTGTTAACGTGACCCCATAGGAAAAAGTCAATTGGTACCATATCAGGTGATCTAGGTGACCATTCAATTGTATCGGTTGAAAGTCAACTATCAGAATGCCTCGTGTCACGTACTTGCGGAGGGAGAACTTGTAATTGTTCCTTATGGGGATACAGGAAGATTCTTAGCACTTGAACAGTACATATTTGGAGCAGAGCCTTCCAGGAGTACTCGGATCATTGCGCAACATTCCCAGGCAACTATGCACCGGACCCGAGGAACGACAACATCTATACCATGTATGTAAGATGCAGAGGACACATTAAATCTCTGATCTACCAAACACCGGTACAAATTGAGCAGGAGTTAATTAGCGGAATACGAGATGCTGCTCAAAATGTAAGCCCAGTGATGCTGCGAAGAGTGCACAATAACGTGATTACATGGGCACAAACATGTTTGGAGTTAAAGGAGCAGCACTTCGAACACCTCTTGTGAGTTGTCCACATTTCAAACGGTTCTTTCAAACCCACAATTTCATATCTAAAAATTTCGTTTTACCACCACTCACCAACATGTTTTTCTTATTTGTGCGTTCCTGACTTTCTTTTTCTTCACTTGCCGTGGGTTTAATTGTAAATAGGCCATTGAGCCATAACTTTTTATAGGAAGTCTTGTTGAAATATGTTGAATTTACCGGTTACTTTAACCTATCTCATTTTCACTTGAGCTTTTGATATTTATAAGAAACAACAGGTATTTACGCAACGTTAATACTGCAGATTACCTTGAAAAACATTGTTGCCGACCTTCCCTATACAGCCCCAGAGGAATGGCTACGAGGACAGCTAGATGAATTCGTTAGATTTTCCTATCAGATTTTTATGTGGTCCAACGTAACTTGTAATGTTATGATGTTTATTTCAATTTAGCGCTGACCTAGATTGAACTGCTAAACACTAGATATCATAGGGTCTCAAGAATCAAGCTGATTTTTTCGAACCCTCTATATATCCTTGTTGGCCTCCTGTCTTTTTGGGCAATGTACGAGAACTTGACTGGCTGGAGCTGATTTCAACTCGAGAATATTAATTATTATGCATTGATTGAATAGCAAAAAACTTTCTGGGGTTCTTGATTGAGCCCCTGCTTCGCATCGCTCTCTATTCCGCGGGTCCTCTCGAGGCCGCCTTTTCTATTAGTAGGAAAACCCGGCCATTGCTCATTTTACTTACGCTGATAGAAAATCATAAAATAAAAGCAAAAAACCTTAAACATGGTTTATTTGTAATCTTAGTCTAAGTTCGTTATAAACGGAAAGTGAATATACAACTAACCTAAAAAGTGATCGTTATATCCGGAAGTTCGTTATAAACGGGTTCGTTAACACCAGTAAAAAAATACGTTGGTCTTTATGGACGACGTTTCAATTAAAGGAAAAAAGTTCGTTCTAACCGGAAGTTCAATATAACCGGGTTCATTATAAGCGGACTTTACTGTACTTGCTATATTTTTCAAAACTTTTTTTCCAAAACCTTAAATTATAAACCTTACTTTTTATTTTAAAGGTTTATACAATTAATGGTTCAAGTGAACGCTGGATTAAGTAGCAGCGATGCAATTATTCACCAGAAACGTGTGATTCAAGGTAGGAAAGTACCTATTGACAATTTAGCATTTTATCAACCTTGTTGAAAGCCCTTTCAGATAGCAAATAACATATGAGGTATTCCAGTTAAATAGAATTCAGTAAGTTAGTAATCTTCATGAAAAACTAGACCTTATATTAAAAATATTCCTATTTGAAAGACAACGTTGATACAGGGTGTTCATTTAAAAAAATATAAGTTTGACCTGTCACGAATTTTTGAAAACACCCTGTAAATCGAAAATAATTTTCACAAATTAACCAACTGAAAACAACTTTTCAAAATTACACTACAGTTATCAGTAATTGTAATCTTCCATCGCGTCTTGGTTTTCTACTTCTTGCTGGGTACTTTAAGCTTCTTTTCTTCAAGTGCCTGTCTATTTATCTATTATTTCGACTTTTGGCTCACTTAATCACACAACCTTGCCGGGATTGCTGATAATCTTAATCCGTTCATCGTTGTTAAAGTAGCAGATCCAGCCCATACGTAAATATTTGTAAAACAAACTAGGTATACATGGACTAAATGCTTAAAAGATAGTTGCAAGTGTTGACAAAAAAACAAGGCTGCCAAAAATGTCCAGCGTATTTTTGGGCGCATCTATTAAGCTCCGGTGCCTGTGTTTATCCGGATTAATCTTTAAAGCAGCTCTTCTGGTAAAGACACTTGTTTCAGACAATAATAATTGTCAGATAACCTCAATTTCGGTGCAACTCTTGTGGATGTTAAATTCTAAAAGTACTACTTAATAACGAATAGTATAAAATTATCCACTCAGAAATATATATTTACGTAGTAGGCCACTATTTATAAACTAAATCTGCAAATATCAACAGTACTTTTCAGTTACATTTTTTTAATCAGAAAGAATTAAAAACCTTTCGAATGTAGACAGTTAAATGTTGTCAAACGAGCAAACGAAGCATTTACTTCACAAATGTTCTACTTACTTTGTTTATTGAAACACTGTTTAATAAAAAAGAATATTTGGAAATTGCCGAAAGATCGTTGTTTAACCAAAATCGAGCGCGACACAACACCCTCGGCATCGCCATTTTCACCAGACTGTGTGATAAGTGAGAAGAGCGATATTCCTGTATTTTTTCTATCCCGTTTTTCAGATAAAATCGCTGTTGTCACTGCGCAACAGTTAAAATCGATTATTTCATTCAGCAAAAATACATAATTTCCCATTTATTAGCACAATGCAGGCGATTACTAATGAATATAATTGAAGCGACAAATAATTCAATATGATTTCTAATTTAAAATAATTCAAAGTTACGTCAAGCGTATTTGTGCAACCAGTTATACAGGATTGTCCTGCGCTCGATATCTGCAGACAACAAAACATAAAAAGTTTGACAACCGCAGTTGCTTTATTGTTTATTTACTAGAAAAATAGGTTAGACTGATCAGCTGGGCGATCGAATTGCTAGCAGTGTCTTAGAGCTCTATGCCTGAACAGTCTCAAAACTAAATTAATAAAATGGAATCACGAGGAGAGACTTCTGAACTGCAGCAGTTGGTTTCAAGTGATGTGGAAAACGATGACAGCACAATTCAAGAAGATCCCACAGATACAACAGAGTGCAAAGTCATATCGCCCATTAGAAGTGCCAAAGTAGTAAATAACTGCAGGGTCTCTGGTTGGCAAATTATCTAATTTTCGACGATATTTCTAGTTTTCCTCGTCTGGAAATACTAGCCATAGTTCAATAACAAGATCCCATGGCAAGGGGGGCCATACAGCTCCTGCTTTTGGCAGTTCCAAAATAGCTTTCATCAATGAAAAAAAATCATCCAGGGAACCTGTAAAACCTACAGCCGGAAGACCTAGAAATCCTCACAAAGGTAAGTTTAATTAAACGGAAAGGGCAGTTTAAAATTGCTGCAACTTTATTTTAAAAATAACAATGCCGAAAACTAAGATACAAAACATGTATGTTGTTAAGTACTATTTGATAATTACTTATATTAGCTCAGGGTTTAACGTATAGCTAAACAGCCTTTAATTCATTACATCCTAATAATTACACATTGTACTGCTCATATATGTATTTGGACTATCAGGGCAAGGAAACTATGGATTTTAATCAAACTTGCTGTGAATTTGTTCTTATATAAAACTCATTTTGATGAAGCAACCGAGCTAATTCCATTTGGGCAGGTGCTGAATTATTAGGTTTCTTGGTTACAAAACTACCAGAACTTTTATCTGTTAGTTGGAATCAACTAATTTTTTTTTCAGTTTATGGACTAATCCTCTTTTATTTTTGTGCTCTTTGTAAAATGTAGCATTCATAGTTTTTGCAGAATAAAACATTTTTCTCCAATTTCTTACCAATTAATAATTTTAGACACAATTAATTTTGTACTTTAACAAAATCTTAATTAGGTTTATTGTAATATCGGGAGAATGCTTAATGGATTTTCAGGAAATTGGCTGTGGATTTGTTCCTACCTCGGGCTATAATTAAATGAAGTTGTTAAATAGAAAGGACACAAAAATATATTTTTTATGCAAAAACTATGCGTGCTGCAAGATTTTACGAACAGCTGAAAAATATCAAAAAAAAGATTAGCGCATCAACTTTTTTGAGGTAGTTTTGCACCAAAACACTCAATAATTAAACACTTGTCCAAATGTACTCGGTTGCTTCTTCAAAATGAGTTTTACATAAGAACAAATTCACAGCAAGAGAAGAGCAAATCTGACTCTTATCCAATAATTTCGCATTGCAAATTACGCTCTGTTTTATATTGATGGTCTCATTATCATCATCGAGTTGCTTCTACACCTAGTTTTTATATAAGTTTAAAACCGCACGCTAAATTAATTGCCCTTAGAAATTACCAATTTACTCTCAAGTTCACCTCAAAATAATTTTGCTGTATATTTTGTTTAAATGAGCGTACTGTCCGACTGCAAACAGTTTTCGATCGTCTATAATTTTTTACGATGCACTTATTATTTGTGTGATGCAAGAATGTATATAACGAATTATAATTACTTTGCATGACATTAATACAATATCATTTTCTACCGTTAATTGATGGAATGGTTTATTCCGGTTTCCATTGTGCTATAAACGTGTTTTTTTTTATCAGAACGTTTTGGCTGGAAATATTTATGAAACACCTTTTCTGTAAATACTTTAATATTCGCTTGAAAATATATATATTATCAGTCGAAACGCTGTGGTAGAATGTGATCTAGATAGATAGTGATAGATAGTGATCCTTGCTCTACATTAGAATCCCGAAACAGTTCAACCCCAACACTCCCCACCACCTTTAAACAAATTTATTTTGTTATTATTTGTTTGTTTTTTGTTATGGAACGCAATTAGTATACACCTGTAGTTTTATGTTATATTTTGTTGTTTTTTTTCTGTTTTTTATGCATGTGTAGAACCGCCTAAAACAGATATCCACCACCATTCTTTTCTATCGCAAGTTCCCGATGTGCGCCACATGGAAAGAGCCTTATTGGGATTACTGGCCGATTTTCATTCTGGAAAATTGAGGGCATTTGGAGGAGGCTGTACAATGGAACAAATGACTAATATTCGAGAACAACAAGAGAGACTAGCAAAGCTTCATTTTGATTTAGGGGGAGCTGCAACCGTGCCCTCTTTAACAGATGAGAGTTTGAAAAAGTCGCAAAATACCATGAGTCAATTAATTCAAAGACTTGAACAGCTTAGTGTGTCTATTGAAGCGCTACATAGTAATTCTAATAAATAAAACATTGTATTTTTAAGTTGGGATAAGTGATTATTAAAACTATCAAGTTGGATGGTGATAAGCAGAAAATAATATACATTCAGTTGTAAAACATGTGTCTATTTTTTCAATATATGGTCATACTTACTCCTCACTGATATTTTATAAACTGTTGTAAGTTTGGAACTTTCATAATTAAATTCAGGTACATGAACCAAAGTTACTTTGTGCTGTTATTCGACACGTAAGAACCTGGAGTACTTGTTCGTTTTTCTGAAAACGAAAAAACCAATTTTCTTTATTTTGCTCTTTTAATACATAAATTATTAAGATAATAAACTTACTTATTTTATTCTCTGCTGCATTAGAGGCTGACACAAAGGTCCTTTTTAGCTTATTTTTCTGCAATTCTCTATAATTTTTTGCAATATCTTTAGAGAGTTCTGCGATTCTTATCATTACTGGAGTTGGGTAGCTAAAAGTGACAAGTGGATAAAGATGAACAACATTATAAACGGTTTGAAATTTCCGATCAATATTCCTCGTTAGGACCATTTTGATTGCCTATATCGAGAACTGTATTTCATTAATTAGGATCCATTGGAGATTACAAAGAATTAGTCTGACTCATTTGGAGATCACGCAAAAATATAAAAAAATGTTGCACTTTGAGGTTTGGCATTAAACACCATTTAAAGTAGGTCAAGGGCCATTTGGCAGGTAACTAAGCATTCGAGCAAGATATCTGTTAACAAACGTGACTGAGTATTTGTGGTTAGTTCTAAAATTGTGCTCCTCAACACTTAAAATGTATAACAATGCAAATGGATCATGTCGGCAGAATACAACAAAATAGACCCAATAAGCTTATTACTGCTAAGCTAAAAATCCATCTCCTGCCAGCATAAGTATTTATTTTTGTTCACGTTGAATGTACAAAAATTCAGAATAATTATATATTTTTATAAGTACTGAAATAATTGATATTAACTGAAAATTAATAAGGGGGTGGTTTCAAATATAAAAAGCGCAATCATAGCAATTCTTGTCAAAACCTTTTTGCGGGGAATTTTGCCTCAAAATTGTCTTAAGAAAGACATAATTTCCTCATGCTTTTGTTACAAATTGATATGATAAAGAGTGATTTTATTTCACAATAAAGAACCATTTCTTTATCAAAAAGTAGTCGAGAACGATCAGCTAGACGGTATCCTACGACGCTCAAGCTCTAAGTGAACAATTCTAGTAATGTTAGTATCAATATTAATTCCCGTAAATTAGTAATGAAATTAATTTTGAAAACGTTGACGTGTTCACAGCACCTAAAAATAGTCTATTTATGAATTTTCAAACAAGGATATGTGAATATAAACTTGGTAAAATTCGCTTTTTAAGAACTTTAAGCTAGAAATTTCAGCTTTCTATGTCCAACTATCTTTAGATATAATCAGTTACCATTTCGGCAGAAATAGTTAGTATTCTTAACACTTCTTGAGAAGAATAAGCAGATAGGAGAGTTATATTCGAAGATATTTCGGAATTAATGCTGTGAGTAGCTTCCTTTCCTTTAAAGTGAGAATTTTTAGAGATGAAAGCAAAAATCTTCGCCTGAACTGTGGAGTTGGGACGAAATGGTTTTGGTTTGAAGAAGCAAATAGTAAATAAAAAATTGCCGATAAAGAAAGATAATTGCTGATGAAGTTACTGATCAAAATAGTAGAAAACATAAAGAATGTTGATGAGTGTCGTTGTGAAGACTCTTATAAGTAGTTCAGTTCAGTAGGACTCACTGATTGTTCAGTTCAATAAATCAAGATCCATTCTACTAGAGTGGATGCCATACTAAAAAATAAACAAATTCCAACCACTTCAGTTGCTCCACTTGATGTTGACTTTCTGACAAATTCTTAATAAAAAAACCAACCATCAACTAGAAAGAAAAGCTGACCTAAAAAAGTCCACCGAAGATCCATATCTGCATTTGATAATGGCAAATTAGAAGCTATGCTTTAAAGCAAACTATCTCAGCTTCAAGCACAGAGCCAAGATTCTGGCTTAATCTTAAATTAATTTATTGCATGGAACCTTCAAATAAAGATAAGTAGAAAACATCGAAGAAGACATTTTTAGTGCAGTAGCGTTCTTATAGATAGATCGTACAAAATCTTGACTTTTGCGGCAAGCACCCAAAACGAAAAAAAACTAAAAACAGCAGGTACATGTTGAGAAGGAATTTGACAAAATGCAAATTGGTAGAAAAACGCAGTAATGAAAATTATAGAAACAACTTCAGTATTAACGATTAAACGCGGTATAAGTCTGGATTTCGTATTATGTGAAAAGTTGCCCAATAGAAGTCTAATATTGAAGAGAGCATCATTTATCAAGAAGCTTTTCCGATCATTGCTTGAAACTGGTGAGCTTTTTGTGCTTTTTGGCCGTCGTGGAAAATAATTTCTCCTTTACGATTCGCAAGCACGTGTAACTCGAATCCTCAAAGTTGCATGAGTGGCTTGCACCAACATATAATTTATCAAATGTTTTAATTTCGGTTTTTCGAAACATGAAGGTCATTTTCTAAATTATTTTCTACTTTTTTATTATTATTTTTTTATTTTTATACTATTTTATTACTATATGGAATTTTCTCTAACAGCTTAAGCTGTGAATGCTCCTCGTAAACTAAAAAAAAATGAATGAATCTCTCATGAATCTGAAGTAAAAAACTGAGGAAATTCTGTTTTTTTTAAGGCCAGAAATTGACTTACATATGTGAGTGGTTTTTGCTTTGCTCAGCATTTTGGTTGCGTTAAGTATCCGAATATAACAATCTGATCTGATCAACAAATTTTCTAATAAAAAAGTGCCTCGAAGGGAATTTGGTAATCACGCTCACTTAATATTTTCTATATACTTTATACACGTTACCTGCATCCCATGAATTCGATGTTAGTAAAAGTTCTAGCTAAAGCCACTAAATAATCTTCCGAAAAGCTACCCTTATGGGTCTCCATAAATGCCTTTCGCAATTCCCAATGTTCTTCAGGTTCGGTTTCATCTTTGTAGTCATCAGCATCCCAATCAGTTGGATATGTCTGTGTCATATTTAACTTTGTTGTCTTTATAGAATATGTTTTAGTCAAGAAATTTAGTAAACGTTTGCCTTTTCCACTTAACACTTGACTCAAACGGACTCGACTTGACTCAAACTGACTGAAACGAGTCAAACAAACCATAAACAAAGTGTAGAGGTTTAGAGCTAGTATCTTCTTCTCCCTCAGATAATGCTATAATAAACATACTATGTCTTGGCAACCTTACAGAGTGGTCTGTTTATGAAATAGGTCTGAAATCATCAATAAGGTTATTGATGTTTTAGAGATGTTTAGCATTTTTTATTTCTGCCGTTTTTTTCGAAAGTAGATTGTCTATGTCCATTTTTTCATCTATCCAAAAATTAGTTGATGACAAAAATTAAGAAAAGTTGCCATGAAATTTTTATTTATAAACAATTCCAAATATTTATATTTATATGTATATTAAATTTGCTTAATTCATATAATTAAAGTTGGCCTTAAAATTTGTAATTTATTAAAAAAATCGTTCCGCGTTCTTGAAAGAAATGGCAATGGACGCACAACTTTCGTTAGAATTTATTTAGGAACGCAGTCCTCATCACGTAATTCTAAAACATAGATAAGAGAAGAGTTCTAAAATTTAAGGTTAGAACCGACTGAAGACAAATTTGAGTACCTTTTCTGAAAAATAAGAGATAAAGTAAAATTCAGGTGAACAAAACTATTTATAGTTTCTCTCTTAAACTCGCAAAAATACATCCTAATGAAAAAGGCCAAAAATCATCGACTCTAATTGTAAATAAACTAAAAATTGAGGTTGATTCTTGTGCTGGTTAAGGTTGCAACAAATTTATTTTTACGATATGACCAAACGTACCGGGTGTTTAAAATATGATAATAAAATCATTTTGGCCCCAATGGTCAGAGTGGGTACTCTACCCATGAGGCTTCTTGCACTTCACTATGGTGCTGATATTGTGTATACAGAAGAACTCATTGACTGGAAACTTATTAAGTCGACTAGGAGAACGAATGGTACGTGAATGTTTGTATATTTATGTTATACATACTGGTATACCTGACTATAAGTAGAGGAGAAGCTTGTACCTTGATCTGGATTTTTTAAGACTTAATTTTTAAAACATTTTCAAGTTCTAAGGTAAAATCTCTTGACTGACTTACAGCTCATGTATAGCTATTCAAAAGCTATTAAAAACCTCAAGGCAATTATTTTTTGTTAGAATTGATTTGATCCCTTCTATTTTGTACAAGATACAAACCCGTAGTTTCCTTTGAACCCCGCAGTTTTTCAGTCCCGACATTCGATTTTTCAAGAAGCAGGAATATTTTTATTGTTTGCCCTTGCAAAGTCTATTACTAAGGAACATCGAAGCTGGTAAAATTTCCGTTCATGCCTAAATTGTCGTATCATTTTTCGAAATGTTTATAAAATGAAAAACTACTCTAATAGTTGTGTAATTTTATTATTTTGCTTGGAATTAAATTTTCTAATCTGATATAGTTAGGACGAACACAAACGTAGCGATGTAAACTTGTCACATATAAATAAATCTCGTGCGTGTCTAACCATCCAAAATGCCCACTTTGTACGATAGTAATTTTACAAAATCTGATAGAGGCCCTGGGAACAATTGACTATATAGACCAATCAGATGGGACTGTAGTTTTTCGAACTTGCTCATTGGAAAAGGATAGAGTCGTCGTACAACTAGGCACTTGTGATTCTCAAAGAGCTCTGAAAGTTGCAAAAATTATGTAAGTTTTCATAAAATGATGCTAATCAAACAGACATTCTAATGGCAACATTTGTTTATTGCTTAGTGAAAATGATGTGGCAGGGATAGACATAAACATGGGATGTCCAAAGGAATTTAGCTTGAAGGGTGGCATGGGTGCAGCCTTGTTAACACAAAGAGAAAATGCTAAGGCGATTCTGTCAACTTTAGTGAAAAATTTAACAATCCCGGTGACCTGTAAAATTAGAGTATTTGAAAACTTGGAAGATACAATACAACTAGTGAAAGATTTGGCATCAACCGGTATTGCTGCCATTGCAGTGCATGGAAGGACGAAAGCAGAGAGACCGCAACATTTAAATAGAAACAGTACAATAGCCGCCATAGCAAAACACTTGGACATTCCTGTAATAGCTAAGTAAGTCACATCTTTTCTTTACAATCATTGTCACTATGATTTCATACTTATATTATTGCAGTGGTGGTTCTCGGGAGATAGACAAATACAAAGATATTTTAAAGTTTAGGGAGGATTGTGGAGCGAGCAGTGTAATGGTTGCTCGGACAGCAGAAGGAAACTGTTCGATTTTTTGCAAGACAGGCATGAAAGACTTAGAATGTGTAATAACGGAATACCTAAAATTGGCAATAGACTATGATAATTCACCAAGCAACACGAAGTATTGTGTCCAAAACATGCTAAAGGAATTACAAGAAACGCCCAGAGGAAAAAAGTTTTTGGAGTGCCAAACATTGGAGCAAATATGGTATGGTGGTGACAATTGTCAACTGTTAAGAAGAGCAACCGGAATGTGATTCAATAAATTGACATTTCAGCTCTATATGGAATTTGGGCGAATATTGCAGAATGAAACAACTGGAGTTCCAAGCTAATGGGATGCTGGGCAGACGGGAAGTCTGCCCAGATATGTTCGGTACGCCCAATAAAAGAATGAAGATCGATTATGACGAACAGCCAAACATATACAAAATAAAATGTGCATTTATAAGGGTTAATTTTCAAACTGATCCCGATTTACCAAAGAGTAAAATAATAGCTCACTGTGGACGAAACCAGTTGAAGGCACCTTCATATAGGATAATCAATGAACATAAACTGTTCCGAGCGGTAGCAACTTTGGATGGCAAATGTTACAGTTCTACTTATTGGTAATTGTGCCGCATTAAATAAATTGCAATTATCATTAGAGCTGTTTTAGGGAGAAGAACAAAAGATTTGCAGAGCAGGGTGCGGCATTGGCTTGCTGCGTGGCGTTGGGATTAATAGATAAACAAACTTTGATAGATAATGGAAGCATACTTGAATAAAAATAAAATCCCTAAAAATGAATTTTTTAACGTTCCATCAACTAATTAAAGGTGAAAAAGATGCATTGTTCTGATAGGTTTTGCCCAGACAATAATTAATTGTCTTCCTCGAGCTACTCCGTTTGGAATCTTATATTTTCGTGGCAGTTCTTAGATTTGTGTAAGATTTTAGTGAGTTTCTAGCTACACGGATGGTGAACCATGGAGGTCTAGGAAGTTTTCCAGTATAGTTGTAATTGAATAATAATCAGATTTTAGGCTGTTATGGTCGCAATTTTATGGGCCTCTGCATGAATTTTGCATTCAGTTTGTAGCAGCAGGTATAGTGTCTGAGAGGTTTAGTTGATGTTTTTTTTTTTTAATTATGAAGCTTGTTGATGTGGTTTTGTTTGGGATTCTTGAAGACCTGCGGTTTGGGTGATTTTACGATTTGCGTCCACCTGCATTTATTGATCATTTGAAGAAAGTGAGCCACTCAATTTAGCATTTAGCTGAAATTTTGCTAGGTTTATTGTAATTTTTATTAATTTTTTTAATGTATTTTAACCTGTATTGAATTGTACTTCCTCAGACAATTCACCGTTCGTTTTTATAATTGTTCTACTTTTGCTCAGTTCTTTTATAATTATTTGGTACCTGTACTGGACCTAAATCCTTTCTGTTTTTCGGACATTGGTACTTGTTTCATGATATAAGTTCATTATTGATGTTATCGAATCTGTATTGTAGCTTCAACTTCCTCTGCTGTTATTTCAGGTTCAATTTTGGAAAAATCTCAAAATCATCATTTGTAGGGTCTCTGCTCTTGATGTGTTCCATATTTTGTGTCATCCATATTTTCAATTTAATCTCGTTCACACTTTCACCTCTTCATTAAAATGTTTTTTTTCTGTTTCGTAGCAAGTTTCACACTTTTTACCGCTGTATAGACCTCCATTCATTTCAGCTGAGAATCTCCCCCAATTTGGTTTTTTTCGTTGTCTTACATCGTTTGTTCGATGTCTAATAATTTTATACGCCTCTTACGCATCTCTCGTTGGTGTGTTTTGTTAATGTATTTTAAGTGAGCTTTCTTTTCTCTCGTAAGTTCTTTTACTTCGTTTGTGAACCACGGTTTTCTGTTTCTTTTGCCATTGACGTCTACTGTTCTTAGTCTAGTGGCCTCTTTTACGCTCTGTGTTATATTGTTTTCAGTTCTCTTCCATTCTCTCTACTTTCTTCGGCATCGTCTTCCCCTCTTATATGGTTATGCGTTATTACTTACATAAAATTTAATCGTACGTACTTTCCTGACTGTGTTTCAATTCCAAAATTAAAATCAAATCCTGGGTTCTTCAGTCATTTATTGTTCATTTATTTATTCATTGTTCATATATTAAATGAACAATAAATGACTGAAGAACCCAGGATTTGATTTTAATTTTGGGATAAAATTTAATTTAAAAAATGCATTCTTTGTCAAATCTAGAATGTACCACTTCCAGGCTTCTGCTTTGCTTTGTTTTAATTGACGTGGAAATTATTGCTTGTTTGCTATATGAATGTGCATTAGTCAGTTTGAATTATATTATTATTTAAAATCATTTATCATTAAATTATTTTGTATTTTTGTTTTGTAAAATAACAATGTTGTCACTGGCGGATATTTAATTTGAACCAGCTTACTTTTAAAACTAGCGGTATTTTTTTCAATTTGCCCTTTCTGTTCCTTAGTTAATCTCTGACCTTTATACTATTATGCACCCGAAGTATCGAATCACGTCAGTTAGGCTTTCAACAACAATTTCACAGCAAATATAAAATAATCAAGCTCGATGCGAACTATGGTAATAATAGTAAATGCTGCTTGTTTGAGAAAGTTACAACATAATGCAGGCGGCTTTATGTTGGATGGAAAACGAAGATTGTTAGTTTGCGACGGGAAAAGTAAAAGGAAGTGGTGCATTTGCTGTAAGTAAAATGGTCAAATATCGCGATTACAACTATAAATATTCGAAAGTTCCCGAGATCTTTAATAATATTCCGCGATATGAAAAATGTGGCAAACACAGTATATGGCAACCGGTAAGTAGTCAGTTATTGTAAAATATTTATGTTATTAGCTAAAGACTAAAAATTGAACGCTTGCACGAATATTTAGAATTCAAACATTTTTTAATTACGTTCCACTGTACGCCAAAAAATATATTATCTGTTTTGATAGCGGGTTTGCGACAGGATAAAAACTCCTTTTATTTTCTTTAATTTGGCGACATTTCAATCCTTTATCCAGATCTTTAGCAAAGCCGTTTTTTTATACCAAAATATAGTTAAATCATCAGATTGGTGAGTGTTGCATCGACCACGGAAAATTATAGGGACATCAACAAACTTTTGTATAATTTGACAATTGATTATTTTTATTATTATAATTAATTATTCCTGTGGTTTCATACTTTATTATTGATTGAATCTTCTTTAATGAGCTAAAGTTTGCGCGTGCACATTGTTAATTTCAATAAAATGTCTTCCATCATTTGTATAAATTGTACATGATCCAATGTGATGCGACTCCTCACTAATAGCATAGCATCAAAAATGGCGTTTTTTTAAATCAAATATTCTATTTTTTACAGACAGTAAAAGTCAAATTTGTTTTCATCAAAATTTAAAAGGGTTTAAACTAACTCATTTGCAAGGAAAACACCAATAAATGACACAAATTGTCTAACACGATAATAAATTGAAGTTCACAGTAGAACACATCCGCTTTATACTTATATTTTAAAGGTTTATATAAAAACTTTCCCAGTAGAGAACCTATTGAAAATACAAAACCGTTTAAATTAGGGTTTAATTAAAAGAAACAAGTCTTTAATAACTCAAACTTTCTTACACGACAATAAAAAACAGCAGAACACACCCGCGTTATTTTATTTATTTTTTCACTTTTATTTATTTATAATTTAAACGTTCCTATAAAAATCTCCCACATTAGGAAAATTGGCAAGTTAATGTTGGAAAACTGAGTGAAAATAATTTTCAATTTCAAAAATCAAGTCGAATTATTGATAATTCAAAAACCGTTAAAATTACAGTGTAAATCACAGATGAAAGCCAGAGAAAAATAACAAAAATTGCCTAATGCGACAAAAAATTGTAAGAGTTCCTATAAAAACAGAAAAGTATGGAGGGAAAACCGCATTCGTTAACGTACAAAATCTTACTGAAAATTTGGAAATGAAAAACTCCTAGCCAGAATCTTCCTCGCCGAATAAAAATATCTAACAAAATCATAAAATACTAGTCAACAATGTGGGACCAAAAGTTCTACATCTATATGGCAACCAGGAACAAAGTAATGGCAAACTTACCGAACGCTGCATTGTGCCACCTGAAAAAAAAAGAAGAAAATGTCTTTAGTACTGCAGGAAATCTGTTCCCAACCATTAAGCATAAGAAATGTAAAGAATGCATAAAACTTCATTTGCTTTTCGAAGAATTACACTCAATTGAAACTAAAGAATCTAAAAGCAAGAAAAAAATCTTACCAGCTTTCTGTGAAGCTGGCGCCCCATCCTCCATTTTCCGCCCATTATACCTATAAAAGTTATGCACACGGCACTTATAAAACTTTAATTCTGCAGTATGCAGACAGAATATACTACCGCACTTGTATTTATACTATTTACACTATATTTTTTATGTGAGAACGCGATTCACACGACACAGAAAACACGCGCGACTGGTTGGAAAGCTGTAAGAAAAACTGTAATTAGTAAGAAGAGACATTTGAGAAAAGTGACTTGAAAAATATCATGTATTCAGGTGCACCTGAAAAAGAGCATGTTAAATAAATATGTAATAATTTTAACACCAGATGAATAGTTCAAGGTAGACGCAAACAGCTTAATTAAAAAATAAAGATAATTAAGAAATAGACCTTGACTTATTCATAAGATACCTAAAAAAGACAACATTAGTGAAAGAAACAATAAATATTCTGAAACATGAGCGGTTCAAAGCTACAAAATAAACTGTTATTAGTAAAAGAAGCTTTTAAAAAAGTTACCTGTTTTACCAGAAAAAAATTATATGGTAGCGAAATAAGTACATACATGATATAATAACATCTTAATAATTTAAAGCTGCAAAAATGTGTTTAAAAAATGAACTCCTAAACAGGAAACGGAATTAAGTGGGCATTTTAGAATTGGGTGGAAAATTGTGGGCAAATTGTCATTTAAAAAAATCGCAATATAAAATCCGCAAAGAAAAAACTACAACCCTGGTTGCCATCTACTTCAACTAAATAAAATACTGGACGGATCCAGATCGCTGAAATTTCTTGTATAATGATCTTGATCTGGACCACATTTGGCTTCTTAAGGCATTATTCGCTAGACCATCACAAAGTAATAAAAAATATTCACTTACCTTTAGGCACTTCAGTCTGGATTCTGTGGTATTATTAAATTTCGAAACAGGAAAACTTGAAAAGAAAAAACTAAAAACTGAGCGAAAATGAAAGCAGTCTACTATGGAAAAGCTGACCATTTAAATGTGAAAAACTGAGCAACAATGTTAAAAATTGTAAATTCTGGCAATCCCTAGTAAGAATTCAAGATGCGTTTAATTTAGACTGTAGTTCAAAGCAGCAAAACAGCAATAAGTAAACACTACCTTAGACGACGATAGAAGGTGTAGTTCACGGCAGAACTGCACTGATTTTAAATTTAGAGTGAAACATTCTATATGAAAACCGTTCACCATTGAAAACTTCTAGTTGGTGTATAAAATGTGACTTTAATTTAGTTTCACTGAAATCAAATAAAAAAAATAAAACTCAATCCAGAAACTCCCTCATCGTTCGAATAAATAAATATATATATAAATAAAATATTGTCGAATAAATATGGCGTGCAACAACATGATAAAATACATGTCAATAATATGGGAATAAAAGTTCAATAACTATATGGCAAGCAGGGGCAAAGTAATGCCAAACTTACCGAATGCTGCCGTGAATGCTTCATCGT